AGCCATGGTATGGCTCAGGTATACATCTCTTTGGAAATGAAGCATAAAGCAGCTCCTTTTCTCAAGCTGCTCATCACCTGCAACATGCTCAAAGCCTCAGCTAAAGCAGCACCTTAGTAGCATATTTCAAGGCATCAAAATGACTTGTAGATATGTACTGTTGTAAGTCCAAAGCCACAAAACCAAGACTTTTGCTAAGCAAAAGACAAACTCAGAAATACAAAGACAAATACACTAAGATATTATTGCTTTTGTTACAACTCAGTGTGCTGCCCTGTTTACTACGGAAAAAGAAAAATGATGTGACATTGACTGGAGGACTTACCTGCAGTAGACAGGTGACGTGTTCCTCTTCTAACCGTTGTTTGGTGAGGGCCTGCTCTACATCCCAGCCTGAGGCTGTGGATCCAGTACCAAAACCAGTTCCTTTAGCCCAGTACAACTGCTGCTCCTCATTGGTCCCCCCACTGTGACAAGAGGATATCTGAGGCTGGTAACACAGACACAAACATGACACAATACACAGGATTAGGAGGATGAATTTGATTGATGGTTTATAATTTCAGTGCATACAAAGGTACACATATATTAATGACATTTCCATTCAAACTGACCGCTTAATGTAATGTTTTTACATTTCCTTTCTATGATTTTAAGAAAAGTTGTTACCAGCATATAAAAACAGTGTTTGTGTAATTTTGCAAAGGTTGCATTTGATCAGTTTGATAAGTGAATTTCAGCACTGCACACAGTCACATGTAGGTCTGGTTAAAGAGGGGTAGCTCCAGAACATCCGAAGACAGAGACTAAAAAGAAAAATTAATATTGTCCTTAAAGTTCAAAGCCTGCTTTGTCCTTGACCGAGCTGAAAATACACATACACAAATACACTGAGCTGGAGGATATTTCTTTTGATGGTCACGTGAAGTAAAAACATAGGTACAAACCACCAGTGTCATTTTAACTAACGCTTGGTGTTTTCTGGGATGTGCCTGTTTGCTCATATTTAAAACCATGGGTAACTATGTCTCGTCTGGCATTTGTGCTCCCGTTGCAGCACATGGACTGTGGGCCTCAAGGACGCCACAGTGACAAGTCTTTGGCTCATATTCAAGTCATTGATCCGTCCTCAGCTCTGACAACTCCATAAATCCAGACACAGTGGAGGGACAAAGCAAGAGCAAGAGAATGGATACACACCACCGCCTCAAAACAAATATGGCACATCTGGCTCCGAACCTACAGACCCCCTTTGATTAAGGTTCCAGGAGAAAGTTTGTCATTAAAATGCGGTCATGCTCGATGCATGGGCCATAGCGCACCAGCTGCAACGCCAGCACCATTTATACTTGAGCTTGAGACGAGCTTGACTTGCTACAGTCTTTTCCTAAACGATAGGTGTCACTATCGACACCTCTAGGATAGTAGTAGAAGAAGAAATACATTCTGTAGCTAACTAGCCAGCAGATATCAAACCTACAGAACAGCTGAATGAAGCTGAATGAATGCTTGTGTGGTAGACAACATGTTTCAGCTTTGTTCCCCAGCCAGCACACCAGGCCACAGATGTCTGTATAGGGTCGTATTGAATGTCTGGACAGACAGACTTGCTCACACACTCTTGCTTCAGCTCGGCCATTTCCTGTTTGGCAAGCGCCACTGGGCATGAATGGCGAGCGTAAACTAAGTGTTAAGCAGCTAAGCTAGCAAAGCTCAGTTACAACTTCGCTCAAGAATATTTGCAGCTCAACAACACAAGCATCACGCGCCAAAAGTACCAACATCACTTTGAAACTTTCAACTATATTATTCTCTTGATCCATTTGGCATTGTTTTATATATCAATAGACAGATAGTGTTCTACTACTGATTTCAAATAGTTGCCAACATCTCCAATTTAAGAAAAGAAATGATTAAAGTGTCCCACAAGAATCAAAATTTGGCTTCATGATACTTAAATAAAATTTCCAACTCTGTAATTCAAGTCCATTTTTATGCTGATGATACATTTTTAGATACCACCCACTATCTGCTTTTTGCCTGTACGCAGACCTCTCTAATCACTGATGCTGTACTGTTGTCACAGTTGTCTGGTAAAGTACATCTGCTGTATGTGTCAAAAATCAGATCAAGTTTTAAACTTTTTGCCTTTTTAATACCTAACTATATGTGCACTTAAAATAATACTTACATAACTTAACTAGTTTTTGGTAACAAATGGCACCACCTACAGCATGTTTGGTTTAGGTTTCTTTCAGAATCCCATTTGTTTTTCTTTCAGTCAATTTAAGAGGCAGGAGAGTCAAGAGTCATTTTATTCATGATATTATCTTTCCCTTACGTCTCACCCTGAAGGTGCCAATAATACAAAAGACATGTCTCTGGCAATGGCATTTCTCTTCTAAGCTCTATTTGCCCCTTATCTATTGGGCTGAACAATTAAGCTATCAGTCAAGAGAGATATGCAAAGGAGGCCTTGAGTAAAGGCCAGCAAGGGAA